CGATGTCGGCCAAGGAAAGCCCATGCATCTGGGCCAAACGGCATGCAAGACGCACCGCAACAGCTTCAGCTTGCAGGGCTGATGTTGAAAAAAAGGAGGTGGCAATCCCATCAATAAACTGGCCCTTCGAATCCCTCATGATAGCTGCTGCGGAAGCTTTGGCCGAAGACCGGTGGAAGTTGATGACCCCTATTTATAATGAGTTTTTTAAAAAATAAAAAATAATGACAAATTCTTATGATACTCGCCAAAAAAAAAATAAAAATAATGGAGAGAATCTCAGTCGGTTATTAATCTTCTAACACTAGTCTTGTTATTTGTTAAATGTATGGTGTTTGAACCAATAAAAATTAATTTTTAGCACCACAAATTCTTCTCCAATCACACTAAATAAAATGTTAGACACTTCAAAAATTCTATCAAATGTGAGATCCACATGGAACCCACATTGTGTAGATTCTATATCCATATAAGATATTTGATAAAATTTTTAAAATCTCTAACATTACTCAAATAATTTTCTTGAAAATAAAGAATATACGTCTAGGTATTTAATTAAGATTGTTCTAGTGTAGCAGGTAACATGTAGTAGGTAAGTAGTCTTGACTCTTCTCTAAGTTGTAGAGAAATTGATTCATGCAATTTGAACTATTACACAACAGGCAGATAACATTTGTCACCGTTTATACATATAATTTTTTTTTTTAAATTTAGAAATACAAAAAAAAAAAAATCATAAAATCAGATATCATGATAATTTCTACCTTTTTATAAGTTCTATACTTATCTAAAAAAGATTGTATCTGATTCGATAATTAATTTATATAAATAAAAGAATTGATTTTTTGTCGCTCCATTAATTTTTCTTAAAACAACGTCATGCAAATAAACTGTTTATACATATGATTTTTTGTTTGATCAATTCTTATACAAAATGTTTTCGCTCCTATTTTCATAAATTAAAAAGGAAACTCAAAACCTTGAAAATTGTAGATAGATTTCCCAAGTTCCAAGACAACACGTGTCCCCTATTTTCGGAATACAAACGAAGTTTGAAAAATTCCAACATGTCTATGCCACCCGTAAGATCACTACAAGAATTAACACTTTTGGCAACCAAAAAATTGGTCGCTAAAAGTCAATTTTTGGTCGGCAATTGTTATCCGCGACCAATTTTTTTGGTCGCTACTTTGGTCGCCAATTGAGGGTCGGCAAAAGTAATTCGCGACCAAAATTGTGGTTGGTCGGCAAAAGTTGGATTTCGCGACTAAATTTTTGGTCGCTAAATATTTAATTACCGCGACTAATTTATTTTGTCGCCAAAACACTTTGGTCGCGAAAAGTAATATTTTCCCGACCAAAAAATTTGGTCGCCAATTATCACATTCAACGACCCAAAATTTTGGTCGCCAATCGTGGCATTCCGCGACGAAAATTCGTTTGGTCGCGAATTGTAACATTTCGTGACCAAAAAATTTGGTCGCCAATTGTAAACATTCTGCGACCAATATTTTTTTGGTCGCCTATTGTGACATTTCGCGACCAAAATTTGTTTGGTCGCCAATTGTGACATTTCGCGACTAATCAATTGGTCGCCAATTGTGACATTCTGCGACTAAAATATTTTTTGGTCGCCAATTGTGACATTTCGCGACTAATCAATTGGTTGCCAAAACTATAAAAACATAACCAAATTTTGGTCGCCAATATCCAACAAAATAAACCTGTAATTTATAATAATTCATCCAATTTATTCAATATAATCTGTAAAAAGAAGAAATCATTCAAACCAACAAATAAATTGAACCATCAACATTCAACAAAACACATATATCAACCATTTCTGAACCTGTTTAATTAAAGTCAACAACTATTATAAGTTTACATCCACAAATAATTCGAAACTATATATTTCATCTAGCATAAAAATTTAACACATAACAATTACTTGTTATTATGTTTTAAATTTTTATCCATGTACATCAACCCAAAAATATAACTAGTAGTCTACCAAATATTTTCTATACACACCCATCCAAAAATATAACTAGTAGTGTATCCAAAAATATAACTACTAGTCTACCTAATATTTTCCATATACATCTATACAAAAATATATAATCCTTCCAAAAACTCAAAAAGTGCCAATTTGTCCTGTATAGTTTAGCTTTGTGCACGAGTTCATCCATCTGTACCAAAGAAAAAGAGAAATAATGTCAGTTAAAATTTGACAAATAATGAAAAATGTCCATGAAAAGCAAATGTCACATTAGCAAATTAAAATGACTACCATTATCAAATTGTAAATAAAACAATAGCATTCTTATATCTATAGAATAAATTGGATGAGCCACCATTCCAGATCCAATATAGTGCCACACAGCAGAAACCAAACACGGCAACTGAAATTGATCCATATTGTCAATAACTCCTATCTTCCTATCTTTAGTTGGACAAATAATTGGACATATTGTCAATAACTCCATATTGTCAATAACTCCTATCTTCCTATCCATATTGTCAATAAATTGGACAAATAATTCCCTTTACCAAGTTCACCAATTCTCAAAAAATCAGGTGGGTACTAATTTGTACATTTTAACAATTTCGTTCCTATCTTTAGTTGGATGTTGTCAAGATTGCCCCTATTCGTCAAATGATTTTCAACTCTAAAGTTTGACAAATTTTAAAAGTGCCAGACTGGAGCAAAGTTGCAGCACCATAAGAACTTGTCGACTAAAGTTAAGCCTCAACACCACAATATGGTTTTAACTACTTAGCAGAGGTAAATTACGGGTTGTTTAGCAGCAAATTGTTAAAGTCCATACAGCACATTTTTTCCCTATATAAATCATGGCAAGGATTCCAATTTCTTGGATTGGACATTATCATTTTCACAAGTCTACTGACATCATAATAGAATTAAAATATTTGAGAATATTGTGGAGGTATCCATTTCAAGAGGAACAGCAAAACGCACAAGAGAAAATTGAGGATTTCAACAACTGATTTTAGGTACATGGGTAGACGGACTAATAAGCAAGTGGTTTCAGATTTTTCCAGTGCAACCAGCCAAACTGTTTAAGCTTCAAATGCCATCATATATGACAACATGGTTCCAGTTATCATATGCTTTCTTCACCAAGGTATCCACATATAACTGCAACAACAAAATTTACAGGTTTCCATAAGCATCACATTCTCTAATTATGAGCTTTATGACAACCTTCCAGGGGTGGTACCAGGAGAAAAGGAAAAAAGAACAACAATTAGTAATAGTAAGCACTCCAATTCTAGTTTGGTTGATTAGTTTGTTTGAAGAAAAGAAACACCCAAAATCACACCTAAACATATATACCTGCCTGTGATTAACATTTCCAATCAAAGATTAGATTTAAGGATAAGTATTTTACTCAGAACTTGATCAAATATACAATCAACATGTTTACCAACCCGGTCCAAAAGTGAACAAACGCTGGCAGCGGAAGGGAGGGGTGTAAAGTGTCTACTGAATTCATGGCATTATTATTTGCGACAAAATTACCTCAAACATCACAAGAGTAGGTTCTATAACACGCTCAGCTACTGAAGCATTAGCTGCTGTGACTGATACACCTTGATAATCTTCCAGGAAAGCATTTTCTGAGTTTGTCGAGTCCTCCAACTTTTCTTCTCTAGGCTCATGTAAGGAACAGTTAGCGATAACAATGCTATCAGCAGATGAATCCTCTTCTACTTGCCGTTTTTTGGTTCCAATGTCAGAGTCATCACGAGAATGTAATCCCACAGCAACATATTCAGAACTAGTTTCGATACTAGTGGAACCATCTGTTGATTCCTGGTTGATATCATGATGCACATGCTCCATTAGACTAGCCTCACCAGCATCTAATGGAGCTGTATGTTTTGCAGGAGCTTTTTCGGCCTTATTCATGCCAAGGGACAAGAATGGAGATTCAGGTGGCAAAGCAGGCTTTATTTTCCATAAACCAGTACTGTCATTGCGCGTGTAAATCTGAGGAGGGGCATACCATTCATGGCGATCAATCGTGACAAGGACAGACTGCAGCAAAAAGAACAACTTCAAAGCAGAACATCAGCAGACCAAATAGCAGCCTCAGAGCAGCAACATAGAGCAATAGCATACACCATTAAATAACCTTTGATGGGGTTCTAATTTGTTGGATATGGGAAACAACATCCTGTACTGAGTAGTAAAACCCTGCAGTGTTGCTTTTAATCCACAAAGCCACTCTGAGTTTAATCAATTCCTTAACATACTAGAACCTTAACCAAAACCAACTCAAGCTGCATAAGCCTGTGACTCCAGTCCACCCACACACAGCAAGGATAACACCAGCAGTGGCTCGACCCACCCCCAGCTCACAAGACACCAGAGCAGCCATGCTCACCTTAACACAGTAGCAGTTACAGTCACTTGATCCACATTGCTACCCTCACCCACCCCCAAAGGTATTCCTAGAGCAGAATCACAGCAGAAAAAACATACCAGCAGAGCACACCCACACCCAGTAGAAAAACATACCAGCAGAACACACCTGGGACCATGTCAGCATCAACCACCATGCTCACAGAACAACAAGGCAGCCATGCTCACCCTCCAGTTCTGCTACAGTGCTTGACTTGAGGCAGATTAAAGACCAAGACAATAATAGAGTAGAAGTCCATTTTCCTGACTTAACATTCTATTCCTAAAGAGAGCCAAAGTTTTACTTTTAAAATTCTACGATCAAATTCACAAGTGACTACTTATGTTACAGTTTCACTTCCATCTCCTAATACATACATACATACATCTAATACCACAATAACTTCATCTCTACAGTCAAGACGGGCCATCCTAAGCTTCTCAGAAAGATTGCCCCAGGAGAACATGCACTTGGTTGAATCAAAGGAATAGAGAATTCCATTTTCCCAATGGTCAACCCAGCCATTATCTCCCACAAGAATCTCCAAAGAACTGTCCCTAGTTCCAGTTGGAGCAACTCGGCCCTAGCAATACCAGCACAATCATTTAACAGAGAGCCATTCACTATAAACCAAATACAAATGCATCAAAATCATTTTGCTGACTGAAATTTTAAGGGAATTGTCTATGACTTGTCCTGACAGTGAGCTCAATGGATATGCAGATAACAGATAGGATTACAACATTATAACAACACACCATTGGTGTTATTGGTGCCAAACAAAAGAATCTCCAGTTGTCTATTGTTCCAGCTAGAAAGTGGCCATACTCAATAATATTTGGCACATTAAATTTGTATTGTCACTATATTACAATTTACATGTCTGATGTCTCCATAGAGTTACAATTAGCAACCAATTTAATGAACATAAATATACACATTCCATATGACTTCCCTCCACTGTGTAATATAACATGTCGAACAAGAGCAGCTCAATAAAAAATACACTACACCAAATCGGCATGAATAAATATGTTTTGAAGCCCATTAAACGAAAGACAACATCAACAAGCAGACATGGCAAATCAGATGCAGTTTTGTTTATGGAACTTACCTGCCGAGCAAGTCTCCGGGCACCAAGTGATTTGGCAACAATAGGCCAAAGCTCAGCTCCAACTGAATCCCATGCTGGATCCTTGAAGGATGTCATTGGAAGCACAATAATATCCCCTAGTCGCTCCCACCTGATGCAGACAAAAGTGCAAATAATAAACGAGTTAATTACGTAGCTGAAATGCAGCATCTTTTTTGGGTAAGTGAAATGCAGCATCTTATTAATCAATTGACAAATAAAAGGTGAAGAAATAAAGATATGAAACACAAACCTTGTGGGTAGCTGGTCTAAAAGTTCAGTAGGTAGGCCTTTGTGCTTTAGCAAATTAGCTACAGCTTCACTCATCACTTTGAGAGGAGAGCTTGAAATTTTTTTCACTTTCACCACCTCATCTGCAAGTATTGTTGCACCAGATGCCATTAGAAGATTCAAGGATGTTAAGCAAGTGAAGTCCTTTGATAACACACCCTCTCCACTAAATGCCTCGAATGGGTTGATGTCATCCAACACTTCCAATGCACCACCAGGATGATTTTGCTTATCACGGTATATAGTGCAAAATTTTTGAGTGACGGGGAAGCAAATATGTATTCCATTTTCTTTGGAATAAACCTTTCTCCCAAGATCTAACCATCCAAACTTCTTCAACATGTCCTTTCCCAATTTTGCATATTTTTTTTCAAGTTGTAAAACCCAATGCGAAGCACCAATCTGATGTTCAACATCTGTTCCTAGTGGTTCAGTCTCAAATTTCATGTCTGGACCTTCATTTGACATTTTTGCAATACTCTTCTGTCGAATTTGAAACTCATTGTTTTCTTTCTCTACAACCCCTTCATCTTTGTAAATGGTATCTTTCACTCCAATTTCAATTGGCATTGAGCTGGATCCTAAAGACATTAATGGAAGCAAGTTCACTTTGATTGGCTCACTAAACTTCGTTCCAAATGCATAACAAGCTGACCCACCACCCATCACAACTAGATCATCACCAACAACACTAGCGGTGCAGCGAACAAGAAGATCTTTGCCAATAGAGTTGAGTGTCACATGCTTCCACATATGGAACCGCAAGTCAAGTATTGACAACTCTTGATAATGTTGTCTGATAGGACATCCTCCTATAATGCCCAGATAATTCTTATAAACAAACATGGAATGTGAAAACCTTGCATATGGGGTATTCATAGCCATATTTTCCATTTTCCATAAACATGTTTTAATGTCGAAACTATAAAGGTCGCCAAGAGCTTTGTCTCCATCATATCCTCCAAACATAAATAACTTAGATCCACATGCCACCAAGGCGTGGGAATGACGAGGACATGGCCATTCCCCTTGGACTTGTATCTCATTCCACTCCGAACTAGACGTGTCAAGGATATGGAGTGCTGAAGAGATTATTTCACCATTAAGTCCCCCAAATACATATATTTTTGAATCTATAACTGCTGCTGCATGCCTGTGCCTGTAAAATATCATACGAATTTAGTAGTTTAAAGGACCAAATCAACAATTTCTTTTGCAGGAGAAATATAAATGGACAGAAAGGCAATCAGAAATATTTGAATAATGCTAAAATGACCATCTATTTCTACTACCTTATCTTACCATCTGATGTGTCAACTTAGTTGTACTGCATTGGAGATATATGAGTAGAGAGACCCGTTACACTAATATTGTATTTACAAGTAAGATGACAAACATAATATGGTATAGATATGTAGCAAGTGTAGCATTATTGAAAATATTTTTTAAAAGATGCAAAGACAAGAAATTTCGCCCAATCTGACCTATGAGTCAAAATGTTTGAATATTCATTTTTCACCAGAAAGATAATATTTAAAAACAATATTATTGATATTAAATTATATCTCAGGAGACACATGATATAATTATCAACATTGTCAAAGCACTAAAACAGACAAAACAATAATAGAAAATGGATATGTTAGAGACATCATCACCTTGGAGGGAATACAATGCCTGTACATTCTAACAACTTACATTCACTGGTTTCTGTATTAAGAACCCAAATATCATTCAAAATATTTACCAGATCAGCCCTCCCTCCAATAAGAAACATAAGATCACCAACCATAGAAGAGGTGTGACCCATGCGTGGAGCTGGAGCCCTCTGAACGCTGATTGTTTCTAACTTACCACATAATGGGTCAAGTAGTAAAGATTCATTTCTACGTGCATGTCTTCCCATGCCTCCAAAACCACCAAAAATAGAATTACCCAACAATTATAGTTTCAAGATCAATCAAATTGTATTAGACTTTGGCTTGCACTTGACTTGTCTGGAGGTTCATTTAAGATATCGAGGACTTCTATGATAAATGAGCAAATATTTTGTGCTCATATCAAGTTATTAAGCTATCTAATCAGTGCATTTTTTATTTTTTTTTATCAACGAAAAGAAATTTTATTGATGGATTGCAATGTA